CTCTTGTAAAAAGTCCCTCCCCAGCCCTCCTGTAGGTTCCCTTCAGGTATTGAAAGGCAACTGTTAAGTCTCCTCAGAGTCTTCTCTTTTCAAGACTGAACAATCCCAGTTCCCTTAGCCTATCCTCATAGCAGAGGTGCTCCAGTCCCTGGATCATCTTTATGGCCCTCCTCTGGACTCAATCCAACAGACCTATGTCCCTCTTATGGTGGGGACACCAGAACTGGACGCAGTATTCGAGGTGGAGTCTCACAAGAACAGAGTAAAAGGGGAGAATCACCTCTCTCAACCTGCTGGCCACACTACACACTCTCAGGATGTGGTTGGCCTTCTGGGCTGCATGAGCGCACTGCCGGCTCATGTTGAGCTTCTCATCTATCAACACCCCTAAATCCTTCTCTTCAGGGCTACTCTCAACCCACTCTGTGCCCAGTTTATATTTGTGCCTGGGACTGGCCTGACCCAGGTGAGGGACCTGGGTCATTTTGACTTGTTGAAGCTCATGCAGTTTGCACTGGCCCATTTCTCAAGCCTATCAAGGTCCCTCTGGATGGCATCTCTTCCCTCAAGTGAGTGCACTGAACCACACAGCTTGGTGTCGTCATCAAACTTACTGAGGGTGCACTCAATGCCATCGGCCATGTCACTTACAAAGATGCTGAACAGCATTAGACACAGAACAGACCCCTGAGGAACACCGCTTGTCACTGGTCTCCATGTGGACATTGAGCTGTTGACCACAACTCTTTGAATACGACCTTCTAGCCTAGAAGGTGACTTTAATATCTTCATCATCTTCTGTCTGAAAAGCAATCTAATCTCAGAATCAACCCATACTTCTATGTATCAGAAGGATAACTGTTTGGATGATATCATAAGTTCTTTTACCTGACTGTTACCAAATTTTACTAACTAAAGACCAAAAAGCTGGGACAAGAAATCCAGTCGTCTTATTTCAGAACTGTACAGACCAGACATAGTAAGTAAACTTCAAAGAAAAAAGTCCTTGAATTAGAAAATGACAATCTCAAGATTTCCTAATAAATAAACACATAAATAGCAAGATTAAATTAATAAAACATGTACTTCATACCAGGCTGTCCCACAGGACTGGTGAACCATGTAGACAAAAATGGCAGGCCAGACATCCTCATATGGGCTGATATCAAAGTGGTATCTAAGAAAAAAGTTTCAGCTTAGTGAGGACAAACACCTTTTCATTCTTACTAAAAACAAGTGAAAACAATTAGGCAATGTATATCTGACAGCATTCACTTGTTTCTGAATATATGCAGAAAACTGACTTTACAGGGTATATTTTCTAGCAATGTTATTTAATATATTTCCTAAGGTCAATGGAACCATGCTCATAGAATCACAGAATCACTTAGGTTGGAAAAGACCCTTAAGATCATTGAGTCCAATCATTAATCTTTGGCTTTGCTTAATTAATATAAACATAAACCTTTAATAAAGAATCCATTGCTTAAGTAACATACAAAAATCTTTGTTCCACAGGGCTCATGAGAGCTTTACAGGCACTTCTAAAGTATTACAGAGTTTCCTCATAGGAATTGTGAAGATGGCATCTCTAATAATAGATTTACTCGCTTTTTTCCAGTAATTTCTGTCACAAATTCACTCACTCTAATTTTGAGAGAGGAAAAAAATTAACTGTTACTGGCTAATAGAAATTAAGCCCAAAATTCAAAGATCAAACGCTTAATGCAGTATTTTTTCATGTTTCATTAGCTGAGGACTTCTTCCCTCTCTCATACCAACGTTAATATTAGGAACTCACTCAGCAGAACTGTTAGTCCTTCGATTATTAATTAACCCCTTTCCCTGCACCTGCTGTGCTCCAAGTCTTCTATTTACTTTCCATTGAACCCAGCTAAACATTTGCACGTACGTGGCATACTGAACAGCACAGCAGGTGCAAGAGAGCCGAAGGTAGCTGAATTGCTTGTAAAACGTTTGAATGTATTCAGATTGCTCGAACTAAAGGATGCTAATATAATTTTGAATGAAACCTGTCATCATTGCTGGTAAAAGTCACTTTTGCTGAGGAGGTGGGTTATATAATAACATCTAACAAAAGCAGAAGAAATTGTATTGCAAAGAATAAGCTTCTATTAGGGTATAATCCTGCAAGTTGCTAATACTCTGGCTTTCAAGCAAATCACTTCAGCATGTAATGAACTTCAGCTGTAAGCAGCCCCTGTTAAGCATATGCCCGTGTGCTTTGCTCACTCACAGCTACAACACTTGCTGCACGACAGAGGAAAGTGAGCACTGCAGATCAGGTTTACGCAGACAATTTAGATTTTGTCACTCAAAATCACAGAGTTCTGATTATAGGCACAGAAGAATTTATTGTCCTGGGCCAGACACACTGATTAAAAAATAAGGTAGCTCCTGGTATTAGTGTTGAGTGGGGACTGATTGGTAAAATACAGAGTTAGAGAGCACATAGCAAATCTATGAGAGCTGAAAGCAAATTTTTTCAGAGAAAGTCAAAGAGACTGGATGGAAAGTCTGCCAAATTTAGGCCACAATTCTAAACTCTAGCATCTGGGATTCATAACCAAGAATTACCTTCAGAAGTTCAGAGATCCAGATTAATTTTCCTCTCTTTCAAGAAATACAAGCATATGCACAAAATACACAAAAAACTCCTCCCAAAAAACCACCCAAATCTCAGATTGCCCCCTCAAACCCAAACTCAAAACCAAAAAACACAACCCAGAAAATGCTAGGAACAAGCTCAATCTTTTATTCTAAAACATATACAGGGGGATGAGGCCATGCATTTGGTCTTCACTACTGATGTTCCAGCTCAGCCTCCTCTCTGTCTCTGAGCTGTTGGTGATTTTGGACTCTCAGAAAGAAAGCTCATCTCTACAATCCTTAGAGAGGCTTAAAGCAACTAGTGTAGCTACCCATGCCTGAGGAAAATGCTACCATTCAGAGTAGGTTTTATTTTACAACATTGACAGATAAATTTTCTTCAGAGATCAGTAAGTGTAAGTATAAAACAAAGCCAGAGATAAATCCCTATGATTTTTGGGATAGATCCATAGTAAAAGTGCTTCCTACAAAACCCTCCACCACACCTAGGGAGGTGTGTGGGAAATTATCTTTTCCACAGACTGATACAAGATGCAAATGTCGCTAAATGAGAAAAATACTTACAATTCAATTTCCTTATAAATATGTGGAGGCAGTGTACAGTGCATGAGGTTTTGCCACTCTTCTGCTGTACAAACACTGTGGTAGGATAGCTTCTCCATAGTTACACGGTAAATACACTCTGAATGGCGAATTCTGTGGTACATCTGAAAAAGAATTCATTATTGCAAAATTTTAATAAAGGAAAAAAACATTTTTTTTTCTGTGTTCAAGCATTTATTTTTAAAATACACATCTGCACAAAATTTAGTGCTTTTGGCTGCTCAACATCACACATTAGAAAAGCAAGAGATTATATGGGCCTTCTATCACATCCTTCTGCATCTACTCACTTGGCTGAGTTGATTTTTCCCTGCATCTGAGCACTCCCAAGAAAAAGAATCAAAGTTCAGGAGTTAGAAAAAGATCTCAGCCTCTTGCAATACGCCAAAAGAAAGAAAACTGGTAACTGGGCGCAATTCATATGTTGTGCCACTGAGTGAATTCAGCTATCAATTGGTAGAAATGGCTGCTACCTATGCACAGCAAAACGTACACGAGATGTTTATCATACCTACATTACTATGCAATTGCTGTGAAAAATACGTACAGTTAATTATTGAGAAGTTCAGACAGTTATTGCAAAAATGGCATGGTTTGCAAACAAGTGAGGACACAATAATTTTACTAGTAAAGATAATCCTCTGAAGCAATACACCCTGAATGATAACTTTCACCATCTAAAAAGCAAACTCACACACGAGTGATTGCATAGACCCAGGTGTCAATCATACACAGGCGTTTCTAATTGCCTTGAGTCATGTGGAACAAGTTTAAGTAATTTTTAGTAAAATTTGCTGCCCCAGTATACTGAGAACATGGTGTTGGTAAAATTTCATCATGTAAATCACCAGGCTTAAGTGGCATTGCATTGTATCTTACCTGCCATGAACATCATACGTCTTCTGCATTGCTTTTTTTTTTCATTTTTTGCATTTTTATACTTCTATACTAATTACCATTAAATTGCTTATGCTTCCCACATTAATAGCATTTTTTTCTGACAAAAAAGGGATTAAACCAAAAATAACTACCCACTCTTATCTAGAAGCATGGATAATTATGAGCATATAGCACAGCATATGAATGTATGATTTGATATCTTTGAATATTAAGCATATGGAATGGAGAGAATACATAATATCTCCATCCCCCCAGTTAAATCTGTAAAACGTGATCTGAATTTATGAAAGTAAATAAGAATCACAATTTCTAATGGAAAAGAGAAGACAGACAGTTATCATTCACATTTCAGAGCTTGTTCTCTCAGTTTAGCTACATGAAATCGATGTATCTAGACTATTCAGAGAGCGTCAAATTAATCCCTATCACCCTCTTAAAACAGAATTATTCAGCAAAAAAAAAAATTATTCCTGTTTCCATGTTAATTCAATGAAACAGCCTTATGAATCATTTTAATAATCTGGAACATCAAAATCCTTAAGTCTTTCCATTATAACCACCAAAACTGTTAATAATACTTACATTACAAAACTGTTAATAATACTTACATTAGCACAGTGTAAGGCTAAAGCACAAAAGACAGCAAACATTTTAAAGTTGTTCTCATCAGTTTTAGAGAAGGCACTTCCACTTATTTTGTTCACCATCTGCACAACACCTATTACACTTCCTCGGCTTACAATAGGCATGCACAGGATATTTCTTGTTGTGTAGCCTGTGTATAGGTCTACTTCTCTGCAGACCCAGAAAAAAAAAGGAAAAAAAAAGAAAAAATTTAGTATCATTAATTAATATGTATTCCTTGATTCTCAGAAACACTGATGTACGATATACTGAGTTTTAAAGTAAATCAAATTAGTACCTGCAAGAAGATCACCTCCCAAGCTCTCAAATATTTCCATCTACTATGCCATATTTAGAAAGAATTTTTTAATCTTTTAAACTCCATTTGCAAGATAAAAAAATCAATATTCTCTCAAGTCTACAGTCAGCTTATTCATAAAATTAAAGAATACATTCAGGTACTTAGGCACGCTATTTGTTTGTGAACTTCTTTTTCTCCCCTGAAAGTAATCAGATTGCAGGTAGGTTAATAAAGAAAACCAGCAAGTCTACCTAAACAGGGAAGTTGTGTAACAGGAAAAATAACTAACTTTTTCTCCATTACATTTATATTTGATTTGTATTTACATTTTATTTGTATTTTAAAAATATCTTCCACAGCTAAAGCACTTAAATAGGTATCTATAGGTTGTCTCTTCATCAGAGGATCACAGCTCCATGAATGCATCCTAATATAGAATTTAAGTAGTAAATTTAATTGTGAGTTATCTTCCTCTCCCAAGAATAACATCCTACCTGTTAAAGCGTGGATCTGCATAGGCATCAGGGATGTTAAGGACTTCGCCCGTTCTTGCCACTTGACCAGCTATTCCTTTTTCTATAGAAAATCTGCAGAAAATAAAAACGTGTTATTAGCCACAATATAAATTATCCCATAAAAATATTTTCCAGTGGAGTCTGTCTTGGGCACGGTAATGGATATTTGTTCCCAACCAGAGTAATTTTCATGCTTTTAGGAGGAAAAGTCTTAAAAGAGAACAACTAGTAGCATTTAATAAAATCAAAAAGCACATCATGATAGATACTTTCTGAAAACATTTACATAACTACATAGTTTAATATGAAACATGGCATAAAATTACCATTTTAGTAACAAAAATTCTAAGTCTTCAATAACTCTGGGAGTTATGCTGAATAAACGTGACATTTGTACAGAACCTAACGTGTTTACTTTAACAAGTTATTGACTTTATTATTGCTTTTACATATTCATCGTTATTTTACACATATCATAGGCAATATGGAGCTTGTTTCTCCAGCGGAGTTGGGAAAATAAACTTTGAAAAAAGACCAGTGAAAATATCCAAGCTAAACATTATAGGCGTTTGCAATGTACACTTCAGAATAAACGGCTTGTTTCATCTCATGATATGCAAACAATGTCACGCTACTAACTTCATCCCTTCTTCATCACCACAAGAAAGTTAAACACAACAAATGCATTCTGGAATTGAATCAGAAAAATCTACAAGTCTGTCTTGCGAAGAAACAATTTTCAGATTTTTGACATGAACCAGTTATGACATACAAGCACATAACAACTCTCAAACCTGTGGAGAAAAATAAGTATTAGAAGACTTTCAAATCTAAATGTGCCCAGGTAGTATCCTGGGTACTGACAGCATTTCACCCTGCACACCTGATTTTAAGTTTCTTCTGCTGCTTCTTATGACAGGTACATCACAACAACTTAAGTCTCCTTCCTGATGACTGCCTGACTCAGTGTCACTTTCTTACAGATATTTAAGTTTTACTTCTCTTTCAGTATACAGCACACGTGAAACAGCTCACACCCTTGCACTCAGAGTCAACATTTCAACAATTTTCACACAGAAAAGACAGAAAGATATAAGCAAGAAAAACAATTATCGAAAAGGAGTATGAAAGTGTATGTTAAAGCAGGCCACCTTCTTTAATATACACCACCTCCTTGCTTGTCAGTATGTAAATTGCACCAATTTTGACTCCTTCCATTCTCACTCACACAATGTAGTAAGTGGGAGTAAGTTTGTCTAAAGGAGTCTAAGTGAAGACATGAATCATATCTCATATTGTCCCAGAACTTTGAAAGTATAAGGAGGAAATGAAAAAATTTCTGAGAAAATCTAGGCTGAGTATTTTAACAAAATCTTAGTGCAGGATATTTAGTCATACATTTCTGGGTTTCTAAGAAGCCACAGGTTTAAAAACTGTGTCTTTGAAAATCTTGCTCTGTATCTATTAAGGATTCACAACTTTACAAAGTGAAAAATTTTATGTTTACTTTGTAGTTTTGCCTCTTTAATTAACAAAACTTGCATATGTGTAAAAATTATGTACTAGAGACACAAAGCAGAAATATACATCAATTTTAGGCATAGAATCCTATGTATTCATTCCAAGCCCATAAACGTTTTCAGATTCATCACTTCCAGCATGCTTTAGAATCACAATTACTGAAAGGTTTGAAAATACTCCAAATTCACATGAGAAAAAGTAAAACTAAATTACTGGACTTGAAATCTTCAAAACCAATGACCAGTCCATACTAGATTCTACATAGGCCTAATCCATCCGTAAGTACAAATTGTGATGTTCTTGCTTTTGATGTGCTTCAATCGCACAAATTTCAATTCCTCTTGGGAACCCTCTTGGGAAAAAACGTCCCATACTGGCAGACTATGGATTAGGTGCACCTTTACCTGCACCTTTACCTACCTCAGAACACCTCTGTTTTTTTCCCAACATGATTTCCAAAAGGACCGCCTCCGGAAGACGGCATTTCCAGGAGTGACGTTATAGCTTCAGAGACGTTGTTTCGATGGCACTGCAATGTCATTCCCAGAAGTACTACCTTCTGGAGGCGGGTCCTGGTGGGAATGATATCACAGTATGACAAGTATTGTCAGGGGACCTGCAGATAGGCACAGAGACTGGGTAATAAAATGCCTGCACGTCCGTAGTCAGAATGAAACTGCATTCTTCTGCTAGCTACTCTTACCTTATTTCTTTGGTCTTCTTGAAGACAGGTTTCCCATCATTTTCCTCTCCAATATCAAAAAGATCTGAGTACAGCTCCTTATTTTTGTGGTCAACCTGGAAGAGTGCACATCTATCTGCATTCACCAGGTTTTTTGCATATATCTATAGACAAAAAACAAAACAAGAGTTAATGGTCATGAGTTAGATTACCTTCAGTCATTTATCTGATAAAAACCTAAGTCCCTAGAAGATAAAAGTCTTAAGGAATTATCCACTATGAAAATCTGTTTGAAGGAGCACCCACCTTCACAGCAATCTTCGAGGATACAATTGAAAATGCAAGTGTGTCTTTCATATTCAGTGTTTTGGTTTTTTCCACATTAGAGTGGTGTTCTCTTTGAGAAATGTGGGAAGATTTTTAGAGGCTTGAATGTTTGCTAAAAAGAAAAAAATTTTTTCTTTGACACTGTTTATCAAGTAGAAGGAATGCTTTCCAAAATGGAGGGCCTTCCCAGAGACTTTGTGGCCAGAAAGATTCTATTTCTTTCCACTCCGTTTGCTCCATCAGAGCAGTAGAAAGTCAGGGAGACTGCAAGTTAAGAGGTAACTTCTGTGAAATAATTCCCATTTAGTGCATTTAAGAATTTTAAAGATCTCGACCACTCACACTATTTGTTCCTCTTCTCAAAACAGAGTGAATATAGACTGTATCAAAAAGGACAAGGGGTCCAGTACATCCTTCTCTACAGCTACTCTGTATCAGATTCCACTATAAAATCAACAGCACGGTGTTGATTTGATACAATTAAACTTTTGTGTTATAATGCATATGACTCAAGAACTTACCTTGATCACGACTCATGCTTTTCAGAAATAACTGCTTAAACACCAGTAATTAAGAGAAATAGTCAACAAGATGAGAAAATCTTAGTTCTCTAAAGCCCTAGCTCGAATCCAGGCCAGTGGCTGAAGGGGAATATGGGTGCAAAAGGCATGCTTTGCATTGTGGGCAGGGAGGCCAGGGTCCACCTTTTGGGTAGGTTGCTTGTCATTACTCAAGCATATTGGCACCAAAAATTGCAAGGCAACTTGAATTTCTGCTTCTCCTCCTTGCATCTATATCCAAAAACACCCTTATACCATTAATTTCATTAAGGAATTTTAATGAAAATAAAAATGAAAAGAACGCTAAAATCCCTGCACTTTTTTTACTTACTACTACAGGAACAAATCACACTTCAAGTGCCGTCACCAAAGGGTGAAGTAGTGAGGGAAAATTGGGTTCCACTCTTTTCTCACCGTGAGACACAAAATAAGCCACATGATAAAATCACTCTCCCGTAAAATGGCAATAAATGTGCAGATATGTAATTCAATTAATTGGCCCAAGAAAGAGCCAACTGCTACAGCTTACAAAGGAAGAGTATGAAACATCTATGCAGGTTAAAACACAGAATCACAATGCAGCTAAGTTTTGGAAATGAAGATGAAAAGAGTAAGCATATTTTACTGCCAATTGTGTTCTCCACTAGACCTCTATTCAGAGGGAAGAACAATGAAGAACATCAATATTTATTTTCAATGCCATATGTTATATTACAGCAATTCTTTTAAATATTAAGCTATTTTTAAGAAGTTCTTTTAAACTGGAAAAGTCAGTGTTCAGAAATGTGTCCTATGTACAGAATTCCTGACTGTGTACTGACTAGAATAAGACAAACACTGCTGAATATTTTCCATTACTAATTCAAGTTTCTAAATAAAACCACTTTAATATTGTTTGCATTCTAAGTTTGTTGTCTTTGAATACTGTAGCTAAGAATATCACTTTGAAGACTGAACAAGTATCAGAGTACTGCTGGAGAGTAGTATTTTGAATAAGCAAATTGAAACTATAGCATCAGAGACTTGATGAAGATTTACATTCAGGAGAAAGAACTGCAGCATGCAATGAATATGCCTAAAGCTAAAAAGAGGAATTCATATATCAAACACTCAAAATGGGCTATGAACAATCAGTCCATATGTATTTTTAAATACTATCCAGGAAATAACTCTGAATTCAAAAAAAAATTCAGAAAATTACTATCTGTTTCTGAACCATACTTTAATTCATTGTTTAGTTATTTCAATGGACTAGGCTTTAGGGGCTTTTATTGACTGGCTCCGTCACTCTAGTTACGGGTGTAAATACTTTTGGCAAGCAAAAAGGATGTCATGTGTTGCACATCTCATTCAGCAACTGGAACAAATACTCTAGGAGTAATGTTTGACCTTTAGTCCTTCCTACAGACAATAAGTTCTTCAGGAGTGTTTTGAAGCATGTGGCAAATTCAATTTAGGAAAATGGAATCAATACAACAAGCTGAAATAGAAAGAAAAACACAAGCCTTTCTGCTACAACTTTCAAACCTTCTCTGAAACAACAATATTTAGTTCAGAGACAGTCATGTTTCTTTGCTTATCAAAGCTGTGAAACAAGGTTGTTGCGAAAATGAAAAATCAAGCTGATATTTGTCACCTTCCTCCATATAGAGATGGTAATACTGTTTGCATTACATGACCATTATAAACAGCTCAATATTTCAATGATGTAATGTCTTACATCAAGGAAAGGAGAATGAAGGACTTCAATAGCTAAGATGAATAAACTTAGAAGTAGAAAAGACAACTTACCATTATATGTTCAAGTAGAGAATCTATTGCAACTATATTATCAAAATAAGTTCTGCAGAGAAAGAGAAATCAGTAAATATCAGCGTTTAGTCAAACACCTCATAAATGGCTGTCATGGGCTCTTGTTTCACAACTGCACAACAGCGGAGCCCAAAAAGGTGAGGACAACTTTCTGCACCTTGACAATCACTGACTGGCTTGCTGTAGCACAAAGGACGTGAGAAATGGTCCGAGCCCTGCTCCTTCAAGTCGTTATTCTATAATGGCACAATTGTACAATATTCTCTACAATAGCAGAACTTTCTCTGTAGAAAAGCAAAAGACTACCAAACACTGCCTACCATGGATTGAACAGGCCCCTGCAGAGCAACACCAAGAATGTATCAAAATGCTTTGGCACCCTTTACCCAATGAAAAACTTAAAAGGAGAAGTAAAAAGGAAAATAAAAGAAATCCAAAAGATTTTAAAAATAGTCTTCCATTGCTGACAGATATATACTCGCTTTCAAAATATTTCCTTAGGTTTATGTACTGAGAATTAATGGAAACCATGGAGGGCCACAAGGATGATCCAGGGGCTGGAGCACCTCTGCTATGAGGACAGGCTGCGGGAGCTGAGACTGTTCAGTCTGGAAAAGAGAAGACTTTGGGGGGACCTAACAGCTGCCTTCCAATACCTGAAGGGAACCTACAGGAAGGCTGGGGAGGGACTTTTTACAAGAGCGTCCACTGATAGGACAAGGAGAAATGGGTTTAAGTTGAAGGAGAATAGATTTAGATTGGACCTTAGGAAGAAATTCTTCAGTATGAGGGTGGCAAGACTTTGGAATAAATTGCCCAGAGATGTTGTGGCTGCACCCTCCCTGGAGGTGTTCAAGGCCAAGCTGGATGGAGCCTTGAGTACCATGATCTAGTTGAGAGGCGTCCCTGCCCATGACAGGGAGTTTGGACTAGATGATCTCTAAGGTCCCTTCCAGCCCAGGCCATTCTATGATTCTATGTATTGCAGCTAAATTCCCATCATATTATCCAAATCTTAATACTATTTAAAAGACAACAATTTATAAAACTCTTATTAAGTCTTCTCTATCAACTCAGGTGTAGAAGGCTGAAGTTGCAGAAACGACTGATCTTCTGACTTAAAAAAAAAAAAGAAAAAAGTATCTCACTTTCACAGCAAAGTGGTAACTGTCCAAGGACAGTCAAGAACATTGAAAGATAAAGGTCAAACTTATTAGTAAGAGAAGTCTAAACCTTCCACATGCCAAGTCTTAATAACCCTCGGATTACAATGTTCCCAGCAGACAGAAAGACATTGTCTCGTGGCCTTGAACATATATACAGCTCAGTTCTGTCTGGGCCTAGTGGAAAGGAAATATATAATACACTCGTCTTACATTGTCAGGGACATGAAGAGGTGGAGCACTGCATACTATGCCCTTTCTAAAACCTTACAGAACTTGTCCCTGTGACAACGCACACTAACAGTTTCCTCACTGAAAAGGAAACCACATTTCCATGTAAGAAAAAGGTACCGACCATTTCTAAGAGGAAACTAATTATTTTCTTGCTAGTGCAAGTCTTCACCTACATGAAGTTCATAAAGTTGTTTTTAAATGATATTCCAATTTTGTAGCTCAAAAATACAGTTTCTTTTTTGTTAAACAATTATAGCAGCTGATAATGCTGCGTGAGATGTACTTTCTATAGTACTTTCTATTTCTTTAAAACCATCTCAATACTATGTACCAAGGTTATACTGCCAGCCTGTAAATTTAGGTGGATTAATTCAGAGTTATCTGGCAAACTAGCTCAGTATAGATGTTAGCAACATAAAAGCACTGTGGAAGGGAACATAATGGTGCAAGATACTGCAGCAACTGGGTAGCTCTGGCAAGGAAATAATGAGAGTGACCTTTAGGACATAAGCTCTGAACTTAAGCTGAAATTATAAAAAAAAAATAAAATACATTCCCGAGATAAAAATGCTAGGAAAAAACATCTGGATATAACCAGCTTGTCCTCCTTGCAAGTGGTAGAATCCTCCCAGCAGTGTATCACTCCCCATTCCAGCAGTGTTGACTTGGCTGCCTGCATTCCTGAGCAATGGCATAGGAATCTTGGATGTTGTCTAATCCCATCAGTTTGAAAATTGTTCATCAAGACCCACAGAAGTGTTTGCAACAGGACAAATTCTGAGACTTCTCATTTTACCACAGTATCATGAGTCCTTTGTGATGCATTTAGAAATTCTCCAACCAACTAGTCTGATAAAACCCTGTTAAGCAACCCAGACAGTGACTTACCAAAAGTAGAACTTTGGTTTGTCTTTTAATTTATTGGCTATCTCTACTATTTAAAGATGTTAATAGCAGAAACAAAGAAAAAGAGATGAAAGAAGAGCAGATCACCTAAACCACTAAATTGCCTTTGCACATCTAAGCCCAAGCTTTCATTTTCCTGCTGTTTCCAATTTAATCTTGCATTTATTTTGACAAGAAATTAAAAAGAAACATACTACATTTCTAGTCATACTACTGTTCTAGTCTTTGAAAATGAAAACAAAACCTCCCTAAAATTCACGGGAAGAATAAACATGTGGCAGTCGATTCAAGTGTATACCCCTGAAGTGCATATACTTATGCATGTGTGTATATACATATGCATGTGAAACAAAGGGGGGGGAAGCTGAAGCAAACTAACTTTTTGTGAAGTCTTTTCAAACCTTCTAAAACTGGCCACAAAAAGAGATGGCATGCCTATCTGTCACTTCTCAAACGAGGACCATGTTTAACTCTTGACAGAAGAGGGGGAGGAAAGGTAGAAAAAAACACACAAAAAGACCACAGGAGTAAACAAATTTTGTAAGGTATAGTTGGCTGTTACATTTTCTTCTGCACCACCACCAAAAAAAGTTTAACAGGTATACACCACTGCCACCCACATCATTCATCTTGTCCTCATGTTGATGTTTGCCCACACTCCAAGCTGTGCCTTCGCGCCTGGTTGTGAGCTACAGTGTAAAACACAGGTAGATTGGAAGAGCCATGATAGAAAAGCTCATCCAAGTAAATTATTGAGATTATAGTACAAATCACACTTACTTCGATACATCAAGCAAGAAGTCATTCAGTTCAGTCTGCTTAGCAAGGCCCCGGCACACCTGGAAGCATAAATCACGTTATAATTTGCTCCAGAAGAACACTGAAGTCAGAGGGAACTGAAGTTACACAGTCAACCCATTTCATTTGCGTGAAAAGACACCTCACTACTAGTATATAAGTATGTAACAGCACTGTATAAAATTAAAAGCTGAGTTTGCATTCTGGGCTTCAATCTTAGCTGTCTAGCTGATGAGTTAAAACTGTGAAATGCAAATAACATCCTTCTTAAGACTCTTTGAAAAATGTTGGTTGTTAGACTTGCTCGTGCTGCCTCAAAAATTGCTACTGAATACAGTTATAGAATCAGCTTAATGATACCTCCTCATCTAGACCCTCAGCTCTTCTGAGAACGTCAAATACTATGTTTGCTTTCTTCTTTAACATACTTTTACCACTTTTTTCCAGGTTGCAAAGTAGCATGTAGACACAACTCAAGTCTGAGATCAGTCAAGTTTAAATAAGCTAAGCAGCAGATGATATATGCTAAACTTTGGAAGAAATCAGTATGAATATGAACACAAAAATAGTATGCATACTACATTTTAGAAGCAAAGTGTTAGATGAAGCACAGCTTTGAACTTATTTTTAATTCACCTGATTGCATGTTCTGTATCCAAAGTATAATTGTCTACCTGTTTATTCCTAGGGCAAGCATAATTGTCCACCTGTATATTACCAGGGTCAGCACTGAGGTAAAAGGAAAACAAGCCTCTTCTTTTTGTACCTTTTACACAACAAAGGTCACACAGAACTAGCAATGCAGATATACATAAGTATGCAAAATATGACAAACTATATCCACAAGCCTTACTCTTACATATAATTGGATAACTAGATACAACTTCTTGATCCTGGTAGGTACAGCCCAATGTTCGATCAAAACTTTTGCATTCTTCTCATGCAAAAAATTGGGAAGGGCAAGCCTTCTGCTCAGCAGAAGGGAGAGCAATGAAAATGAGCAATGGACAGGCTTAAACTAAACTTCCCTTGTTTTGTGTTGTTACGTGCGAAAGACTTCTCAGTTAAACAGGGAATCATTGCTACAAAGTGAAGCAGTAACTGCGTGCAATTGCAGTTCTATTAGAGTACAACAGTCTACATCAGCTAATTCTGCCTAAGTGTGCCAGGGTGAGTGACCATCCCAAACAAAGTCAATGACTTCCAGAACCACAGTAGCAAATATTAGGGTCTAGAAAAGAAAAGCAGTGTGAGTCTTCTGCCAAATAGATGAAAGACACCTAGAAAAAAAGAATGTCACAAACTCCCTCCTGTGAGCTGACAGAAGAACATATTTTAGCATCTAGTTAATGGAATAGGTTTAGTTTCAGTGTTATTTTCTTCTATTAGCTGAAGTAACAAAACCTATTAGCAAAGCTGCTGGGGTTTGCTTGAGCAGCTTACACCGTGTGGAGTTTCATTAGACACCTGACTAAGGACAGCATGAAGCATCGTTTGTGAGAGTAGTTACAGGACCATGAAGCAGCTAGCAAGGATAGGCTTAGCCAGCAACACCCAATACACCTAATAATCTCAAACTACATACCAAAGCAGGTGGAAAGTAACCACTTGGTCTTGCACTTGCCTTCTTACAAGAAAAAAACTGCAAAGTCATTGTAATTCTGCTTGAACAATTATTCATCTTCTCTGTTAAAGGTTCTTTTTTCTTTAGTGAAAATACTGCTTGTTAAGTTACTGGATCCACAGATACAGGTGAGGAAAACTAACTCAACACCAAAAATGTTAGCTTATTTTTCTCCCAGGTTCAGGGAAGGAGCTTGAATCAAAGTTTTAGTGGTGACCTCCACTTAAATTCAATAATTCGTGTTCCCACTAATTGAGTTCTGGTAGAAGGGTTGCAAAACGAAAAAAACACCCACACTTACTTGTACTTGATGTATTGCTACTGAAGCCCATGCAAGATTTGCTGTTGCAACCTGAAACAAAAGAGAAAACTAACTCTGAAGAAACCTTGAAAACTGCACATCAATTACATGCTTGTTTTCTCTTTCTAGCTGCTAAGTAAATTGACTGAGCTATTTTACACAGTCAGGCAGTAACAGTTTTTGGGAAGTCAGTTATTTTGCGAAAGTCTCAGTATACTTGCAAGTGTTTAAATTTTAATGTATATTCAGCCACAAGAGAACAATCCTCATTTTTTCGTATCAGGAAAAGAAAATGCTTACCAGTGGTCCTCAGGAGTGGCACTGTGAACCCATCAGCTCAGAAACACATCAAAACAAACATCCCACAAGCCAAGGGCTTCAAAAATTGCATTATGTACATCATTGAAATACATCTGCCACAGAAATAAAACATCCCATAACCTCTTTCTGGGGCTGTATCTCTTCAGCCACAGCTATTTCCAGCTGTAAACAGGCAGTGTTTCTTTCACTACCATTTTGGTGTCAGAAGAACCAGACCTGATCCCTCAGCTCAAGACTAGTGTTTTAAGTATGACAGTTTCCAGGCAACATTTCAAACAAATGTCACGTAAACTGCAGTTCACTAAGATGTGCTACCATGCATAATCTCCTGTCCTTGAAACACAGGACCTTTATAAGAACACAGAGGACAGAAGTACAAGAGGCCTGCTGCATGCTCTTCTAAGATACTGGGTTTTAATTATTTCTTTTAAAAAGTGGAACACATTGTACACGTTTTATAAAAACTGTTAATGGTATCCAAAGGCTTTCTGAAACCTGAGAATGAAAAGAATGCTTCAGAACACTCAGAAAGGGACCTTGAAATATTTTTAATTTACTAGTAAAATAGTTTTATTTAGCAGCCAGTCTTTTCAAGTAGAACATTCATGAACTCCAGTTACAGAAGGTATTTCATATAACCTGAAAGATTCATATTTGCACAGAACAATGCATGTCTGAGACCTATCTGAATTGTAGATTGATTAATGTAAGGGGATGATTTACAAAAATAAATACAGCAGAATTAATGAAGTTTTGTAGGAATGAAAAGTTCTCTGTTCTGTGAGCAGAGACTGGTACCACCATACTAATCCAGACTGTTACTGGTGAAAAAATAGGTGTGACACTGAGGCTGAAGCAACATTGACCGTCCAACTAATACGCATCTATGAGTATCACATATATGCTAGGCTACTTAGGTCACTGATAAACAGAATACACTACTGACAAATATTGCTGTTTTTTCCTTCCTTGTGAGGGCTAGTTTTGATATCTCTTGTCTGCACATTTCCTATTCTTTTCACAAGAATAAATCCTGTTTAATACAGCTAAACTGCTCCACGGTGCATTTTGCAGCACTACCAAGACAACAGACCTTGCTAGAACTCACCCCATTTTGCCCTAACCTCTGTGTTGAGGTTCCCTTCCCTGAGGAAGGGTACAGAGAGGAAGGAATGGCACTTTCATCTTAATGTGAGAGCTATCTTAATGTGTAGATGGGACATAACAAGGATCCTCAGCCAGACATGAGCGCTAAGATACACTTCTAACACCTTTAACATAGCAATAGCCTTTCCCATTTTCAAATTTGCTTGCACTTGGCTAGCAACTCATAACTTGAAAATGGTCTTGAAAAGAGAAGGCTGAGAGGAGGTCTTATTAATGTATACAGATACCTGAGGAGTGGGGGTCAAGAGGAAGATGTCAGTCTCTTCTCAGTGGTGCCCAGTAATAGGACAGGGAATAATGGATGTAAGCTAGAACATAGGAAATTCCACCTCAACAGAAGGAGAAACTTCTTTACTGTGAGGGTGACAGAGCACTGGCAGAGGTTGCCCAGAGAGGTTGTGGAGTCTCCTTCTCTGGAGACATTCAAAACCCACTTGGACGCGTTCCTGTGTGGCTGCCCTAGGGGATCCTGCTCTGGCAGGGGGGTTACTTTTAAGTGATAACTTTTAATTGACAATTTTTAATTGGCAAATGGATAGTTATGGACACAGGCCTTATATAAATACAGCAGACCATGCAGTGCAGAGAATAATAGTCATGGAAATGGGAAGATGATTATGATTAGGAATATCTGGATGGAGAAGTATAAGAAAGAGAAAAAAAAAAGCAGAAGAGAGCTCTATGAACGGCATCTAGATTGGCAGATCATCCAGGTACCAGCATATCTACACACAGTTTCTAAGGACATCTAGGTCAGGAGACAAAGGACAGTGAGGAAATCTTGACTCAAAGACGGGAAAGGCTAAAAAGTAAAAGATGTCAGCAGCTAAAGAAATGGCTGACCCAAAACCAGCATATGGTTGTCAAAGTAGGAAGAAACCAGGAGACATAATGACTCAACAGCCAGCATCCCCTGTTGTCCCATTGCAAGGCATCCTGGAGAGACTACCTGCATACATGCATCTCTGTGAACAACTCATGGAAATGCCACCTGGACACACACACCCCTTGATGCCTGAGAGTGTGTGGATGTAAGAACGTGAATGCAAATGCATGAAATGTCTTTTGCTCCACCTTTGTTTTAAAATAAAATCACTATCCCCTCCTGTAAGACCCAGCGTTGAGACTTGCTATACTGTTGCAATGTTGTTTTAGAATATGGCTCATTCACTTGAGAAGACACACACAAAAGAAGTAAATTAAAAAATAAATGTCCATGCAGTAAAATAAAGCTTCAGTGGAAAGTTAAAACTGAGACTCAGGATAACTCAGCAGTATCTTTTTTATATAAAGTGATTTTGGTTTTTGACATTTGATTTACACTTAGATTTTATTCACCTGCTCTGCACTTTCTATAACAAATCTGTATTGAGTTTATAATTAAGAAAGAAATCTTGAACCTGATTTTCCACAAAAGAACACAACGTAAAATTCCTGATGCTTCCCCGTACTTGTATACATAAATTTTATCTCCTGTGATCGAAAAATACACTGCAATAGTTTTGGGTTTTGTTCAATAAATGACATTTGACAAGAACAAAAAATCAAGTAAAAAAAGAGGTAAAAAAGACATAATAGTGAAAGAAGAAAGTTTATGGAGGCTGAGGTGCTGACCACTGTGGGGACGTGGGCAAAGGCTGGGCATGAGCTCACCTCTTGGTGACTATGGTGGAAGGCTTCTTTGCCCCAGTGACGATAAAGCTCCAGGATACCGATCAGATCACCAATTGCAGTGACAATTGGCAAGCACAGAACAGATTGGATACGAGTCCCTGATTCCAGTCCAGTACCTTTGGGAAATCGCTCATCCTAAAAATGCAAGCATACTCTGATAAAATGTAAGTAACACAACATTAACATGAAAGACCTACTGACATTTTCCTCCCTCTCCTGACTGATCAAATCTGCAGGTAAATGGTAAAATTCATTAAAACATATCTCTCTGTTTAATTTACACACAGTATTAAGACATCTACTACAAAAATGCAACAAGAAAGCCTCAGCATTGATATACATATACAGATAACCTTACCGATGTAAACTCAGAATTAGCTGCAATATTAGATCCAGCTTTGGGTTTGGTCTTATAACACATCTTCTCTAATCTCACAGGCAGTAAATCCAGCACTTCATTGCTAATGCTACTCCAGAGTAAAAATCCAAACATGTACCACTACCCCACCACCCCCCTACTCCCCAAATAAAACTACAAAACATTTGAAATCATGAAGTTAACTGCTTAGATTTCAGTGTTACCAAGTGGAAAGCAGTGCTTGGAAGAGAACAAAAGATGGAAATCTAAGGCTAAGGCTTTAGTTTTAGAGTTCTAGTCCTCAACCAACTCCTGTGGAGGAAAATATGTTCCTCAAAAAATTATGCATGAGAGTAAGAATCTTTCTTCTTCCCTGTGCATCTTGAATAAAACAGTGAAAAAGTTATGGGAACAAATGTTAAAATAATCCTACCAGTTGCTACAAGAGGTCCAAAATCCTAACTTTTAATCTACGTAGGAAACGTCCAAGGTTTTACAGCTTCAGTTCCCCACGTAGGAAAACTCACAAAGGCCTGAGAATCCACCTGGATGTTACAGTTAGAAAGGCAGTAACCAGCCTCACGGTAAGAAGCATGGGAGACCCACTCCACTGCACATCAATCCTTCAATACTTGATCAGTACCAGATGTTCCCTTCAGGCTGTGCTTAGGCAAGACAGACACTCCTTCAAGGCTGATCAAAATCTCTCCTTTCTCAAAGAAAACAGTAAGTAATCTCTACCTTAGTTACTAAAATGACAATCAATCTCAAGGGCTACGAACAAATGACAGACAAAAGAGAGTGGGAAGCACTTTGCAACATATGCCACCTGCTCTCACTTTTTAATTCTGTCCTCCCCCCAAAAAGGGCTGGCAAGTCCATCTGCAAGTGCTTCCCTTTCACTGTTGAGATGCTCCTAAAAATCACAGGAAGGCAAACCATGCCACCAAAATGTATTGCCCTGTTTGGTCAATAATACACTAATACTGGAAATGAACAAAAAAGTCCAAGACTTCTCTTCACCACTCCCCCACCTCGATTTCGTTAGGAATGTAAAAATGAAAGATTCAACCCTCATATAAAGGGATATGATGGTACTAATTGGAAATTACCAGTAACAAGGTAAGCCCTATATGTGATTGAAAAACACTATCAACATGTAAAATCTTTATTGTCCAGGATGTATAGAAAGCACTGACTGTTACTAGAGGGAAAGTGGCTTCTGCTTTTTGTTTTTGTCGTTGTTTAAGTGTATTCACATTAGGCATTTGGTATTTTGTTTATAGCCTGGATTTGCCCAATAGAGGTCATACATTTTTTAACAAATGTTTTTTTAAAATAGAGACAGCAATGTCCAATTTTGGCCCAGTATCCAAAGACTGTCATTCTGGACAGAAGCCAAAAAGATAGAAAATACTAAAGACAGAATTTAAACTTCCTTGGTGTTCTCAAAACCAGCTGATTATAAAGTGTTCTTGTAAAGGACAGTCGAAATACCAGTTTCATACAATTTTATTACTAGACAATAAAGGTTTTTTAAAAATTAAAAAGGAAAGACATACGGTATGCCAGAAATTATCAGAATATCACCTTAGTTTTTTCTTGATTCTTTTATGGACAAAGGCTTAAATTTTTATTGCCAGTGTGCCTTTCAAGTAGGTCTATGGCTATTATAAGTGTTCTCGATTTATATTAGTATAAGCAGAGATCAAAATCCTGTCTAATAACCAGAATTCTGATTGACATTCTTGTCAATGTGAGCCCTGCACTATAATTAAATCAAACTTCGATTGACTCTGTCAGTCTTCTTATTTGGGATCAGGACAGTAAGTATTTCAAGACCAAGGGGACAAGAATTTTGACTGATAGTTGTGGGTTTTTTTCTCTCCAAGTGACTATGGTACCATTACTTCCCTTATCTGACAAAAAAAAAAGGCTTTAAACTTAAAAATAAATGAGGTATTCTGAAATTATTCCATCAGCCTAATCTAAACCCAAATGTGTTTTCTTGGTAGCAAGACAGATGTAAATTCTATCATTATACATTCAGCTCAATAAAGATTTCAGCATCAAAATATTCATTCTAAGAACATTCTGTAATCATCTCATTAAAAAGAGAAAGCTTTTTACCCCCAGAATATCTTCTACTAACAACGTTTTTCTGGATCTGGCTACATAAGCAGATACTGTAGTGCCATGTGCAATGGGACCTGCAGGGATGAGCCGTGGTTGTCCTTCTTTAGCTCCTGGTGGCGTAAATATACACAGACTCTAGTTAGAAGGGAAAAAAAAGGAAAAAAAATGCAATTAGAAAGCACACTTACTTTTACAGAGTTACTGCACTACCAATTAGCGCAGGTAATAGGTAGCGTAAAGGATTGAATGAAGTAGACAGTTTAGAGCCACACAGCTTTTGACAATGAAAAGCAGTTGGACAATATCTGCTTAACTGTTTTGAAATCTTAGGAAACCTCACTCTAAAGCCACCTCTCTGAGAGTGCATAACTTTTCCTGAAGTCAGTCATTATTTCAGGGTTGGATTGCGTTTGCTTTGAACCCTGCATAAAGACTCACAGAGGAAAAAACTACTTAACAAAAGAAAGATTTTCTTTTTTTTATTTTTCTAGGATGCACTCATTTATCTTGATAGAAAATACCCAAAGAGTAGAGATAATCTTTAAATTCCTTGTTTATTCCATCCCAAGGAAAGACAATTTCAAAATTATCTTAACACTGCACTTCCTGAAATCCAAGTGACTGCATTCATTCCCTGTACTAGAACAAACATCGTACATGCTATTTAAAACTGTTTCATTTGTTGAAAAGTCAGGTATGACATTTGATAATTGTTTTATTACAAAAATAGTAAACAAGTAGAGAGCTCCTGTAGTAACTCTACTGCTAAATAGTTACGTGATTTTAAATTATGAATGTAAAGTATGTGAACTAAGATGAAACATTTTAAGCAAAGATGCTTACTAGTAAAACATATTTTTTTTAAATTTACATATATAATGCCACAGATAGATGATAGTGTCACCAGACAATGTGTAACTAATTTTGCTGATAGGAATGGTCACATGTTGTGCCACACCTTTGCACTAATCAATTTTACTATCAGACTTTGCTTTCATTAAAGCTCCTATGAGGGTCAATCACCCGATTCCACAGCATCAACAGTTATGACAGTTAATTACATCTAATCTGTTTCCTATGTATATAATTTAAAAAGGTTTCTGTAATAACAGCAGATAAAAGTGAGTACACAGGTATTCCAGATTTCAGTAGCTCAGAATGCAGTGTTACTTTGAAAATGGAACAAAGAACTTTTAGTTTGCTCAAGTAAGGTTTCAGCTTAGCAGTAAGAAGGAAGCTTTGCACTGGAATTGTTGCTATTTAAATATTATGCCATTATATGCACACTTGATTCTCTGCAGAAAAGAAAACCAACAGAAAAAAAACCTAAAAATAATTAATAAAAATCTATGGGCCTTGTTCATTAAAGAAATTAAGCAAAACCTATGAAATCTATGGTATTTCTCTTATTTTGCACTCCTGGACCTCTGAGGTCAGTACTACTAGCACTCAGATAGCTCAATATTTCTATCCATGCATTATTAGAACTCCCCTGGAAGCTGCATGGTGACACTATCTTCATTCTACAGACAGAAACTATGATAAAAACTTTGTATTAATTCAGTTATTTTAGCTGAGGCTCCAATCACCATTTAATTATAGACTTCACAGCTCACCACACAGTCTACAGAATGCCTTGCAAGCCAAACAGATCATAAGACAAAGAAAACTCAGGTGTGAAGAAAAGAAAACAGATTGATAGCCATCAGTTTGTGCCCTGTGAGGCTGGGTAAACTACTAAACTGGTAGCAATTTCATAGCAGGGAACATTAAAGGTAAAATCTGCATGTGAAAATTCAGCATCCACTTCCAGCTATAGAAAATGGCATGATGATATGAGATGCATCATCTCGTAATTATCATTTCTTTATTCTGCAAGTATGCAAGACACATTATAAACCAATAAAATTATAAAATACTAAACAATTCAGAAAAGAACCTACTGAAATGTTCAGAAACTGAGGAGATGCAATACAATGTACCATATGTAGGTACTTCAGTAGCGATGAAGGTAACTTAGCTGTATTGAACTAACAGCAGTTTGGAAGGAGAAAGTTGGACTGAGGGGAAGAAAATGGTCAAAGAATAGTAAGGAATTCATAGCCAAAACAAGAGTGAAGTCTATCCAAGAAGAATAACTGGTTCAAGATTCTGACAAAACTAGTAACTGAGTATTTGTCTTGCTCTTAAGCAGAAAGTCAGGCAGTCTCAAAAAGACTCCAGGAAGAGAATTTTCCATCCAGTTATTCATCTGCAAATACGGCGATACAGATGAAAATTAAACTACCTTAAAGGAGAAAACAGAGCTGCCACATAGCATTTTAGCTCTGACAAGTCATTTCAGCGTATTTATTTCACTCATCTCATGCAGTTGGAAGGAAAGACACTTCTTCCATGAAGTAGCTCTACTGAACATGCACAGTGGTTTTTTTTTCTTTTTGAAGTTTTGCATGATGGTACAAGCGCATTCAATCTTGACATTTTCTGCTTATTCTTATCCCTAAACCTCAGTCTTACTCTTCTAACCCATTTATACACACAGCTCCTTTAAAGAGTGTCCTTTAGCAGTGAAAGACACACCAAAAAAGGCTGAATATGTATTTTCCATATATATTACAAGAATGTGCTATTAAAAAAAATAATAAAAAAGCACAACACATAAAACCCCAAAACAACAAAACCCACTAAATCAGCACAGATTTTACATAACAGATTCTAGAAAAGCATCCCATGATCTTAAAAAAGTACGTTATTCTAAGAAAATTGAAGAAACTACAATTCACAAATTATTTAAATCGGTGTTCTGATAAATCAAAGAAACTAGTAAAAGGTTTAGAATATAAAGGGCATAGAAATATTGAAATACATATCTTCACAAATGTCTGATCTGTTACATTATATGCTTATAGGAAAGATATTTACTATTTTTAAAAAGTACTTTTACAGTAAAAACAGTCTATAGTGTTCAATACTGAAATGTGGTTGATATGAGATGTGATGAGATGTATCTATATAATGTGTTCAGGACTGAAAAGGTGATTCATATTACAGAGTAATGCAAAATGTAGGAGATGAAACACAATGTTTATAGGTTAATTTACATAGTCTAAGTAGTCAAATTAAGTTAACAGGGCACTGTAGACTCATGTTGATCTTTCCAAAGACGAACACTTTTATCCACATCATTCTTCTTACTTTTTCATTAAGACATATTTGGTTCTTTACGTCAAGACAGTAATGTGTGATTTTTAGCAAAGTAACTGTGTTATTTAAATTACAAGTAAAAACTGTGCTTTTCCACACTAGTCTCCTGACTCATGCTCATAATGAAATATAAAGTGATGCACAAATATTTCTCTTCTCGGAAACAGCTTCTCAAAACACAAGAAAAAGTGACAAAACCAAACAGCAGAAAACTAAGAACTTGTTCCACATGTACATATTTTTCTCCAGTAAAGGCCTTCACTGGATCTCCAATGGCAAAAAAAATGTGTTGACACCATGAAGTGTTGCTACCACCACGCAGTACTGTCACGAAACAATTGATAATCTCATCCTGATCATGCAGCACTATTAAAAATAAAGGTACATTTTCTCATAATCGTACATAAGCTCCAATTAGTCCATAAGCTTCTAAGAGTCCATATTTACTTTATAAATAAGCCTAATAAAGTATCATGACTGTAGATACATCCCTATTTGATCAATTTGAATTTGAATGAGTTAAAACATTTGTTGCCAATTAAGGATGTGGAAATTCCTTAAGTTTTTTTGGGGGAGGGTTGTTAACAAATCTGTTAAATCTTAGAAGCCATCAACAGAAAGGTCAGCCCAAAAAAACCCAACAAAGCAATTAGAACAAAAAAGCTGTACTTTGCTCTGCTCTAGCATTTTACTGCAATAACCTCTGAGGCATCCCACAGACACAGCTTTAAGGGAATCTCTTTAATAACCACTGTCCAAAACCACCAGCTTTTCCACATCACCTATTCAGCTCACGTTTCCTGGTTTTCCTTTTGCTTGAGAAAACACAAAATAAAATGTACAGTAGTAATAACAAAATTTGGGGCTCATCTACTCTCTTCTAACCATGAATCACTCTAGCTTTCTTATAATGTGCAAATGCACATTCAAATCATCCTTCACCAGCTAAAAAGGTCATGAAAAATGTTTGCCTGTAGACATCAGATATATTATACACAGCTTCACAAGTAAATGAAGAAGGGAATAGATTTGGCCCTTTCGAAGTACTTGCATTTCTTTTGTAGGTTTGAATATTTTACTTCAAAACCAGACTAACAGTTTGCATTTCTCGTAAAGACACTGAACGGCAATCTATAATCAGAATAAGGAACCAATGGATTTTCAACCACATGAGAATACAAATTTCCCAAATACAGTACCGATAACTCACATGGCAGTAAAAGGAAAAGGTTGAAGAGGCAGCAGGACACCTCTGCACTGCTCACAGTATCTTTTGCTGCTGTAACCACTTGCAAGGAGAATGTAAGCCAGTATCAGAAACAGAAAAACATGAATAGCTCTTCACTGACACTGCAAAGGCACTGTTTCTCTTCTGGCACAAGCTAAGGAATAAAAGATATCTAATGTAGACAGAGCATTAGGTATCTCTCCTGCCAAGGAACGAGAAGGCGACCAAGACGGGACAGTCACTCTGTGTTTGATAAACTCACAAAAGAGCAAACATTGCCTTGGAGAGCAAATCCTTTGGAAGCTGCCCGGTTCATGCATTCTGGCACCCAGGAGCAACCCAGCAGATCCTGCAATTCCCTACTTTGATCTGTTTCCTATCCTTCCAGTCACAGATAGAATCTCCTTACCTACATCAAACTTAACTACCCTATTACCAATCTTTTTCCAACAAGTTCCATACAGTATAACCCATAATACCATGATTTTTGGTGCTCTTTGCTTGGTGCCATGCACACAGTCTGTTGAAATAATGAAGTAATTTATCTTGAATCTCTTTCACTATGGCTGAAAAAACCCCTCATTGCTCCTCATTTGTAACAGCTAAGATACTGATGTTCATCTCATCTTGGCCCCACAGTTTGTTCTTCTAGTGAAAAATCTAATTCTTGGCAGAGGAAGCAGACTAAAATCCCAGTAAAAGA